TATAATATATATATATATTTATATGTTTATATACTTATAAAAATGTCGAAGTCGGTATATATCGGGACGACTTTTGGTAAGCCAGTGCCAGGCCACACTTTCGGTCGTCTTATCACATGATTGAAATCTTCAAAGAGTTCTTTAAACCTTTCATTATTATATAAATGTTTATCTGTTTGTTTTATTATTTATTTTATTTTTTTCCTAGTCATCATCGTTGAGGAACTGGTCTAGGGGGTTGGGTCCCATTCTTCTGGGCTTCAACGTCGCGATCTTTTCCGTTGAACTCTCGGCTGCAAAGTCAAGTACCAATATACAGTTAAAAAATGATAAATTAAACAAAAGATTTTTTTTTTTTTTTTTTCAACTCAAAAACAACGCACCCGTAACAGGACGCTGGGAATTGAGACAACTCAGCCACTCTGTCATACTGATCTTACGATCGTTGTTAACGTCGCAGTACCTCGGCAGTTTTTTGCCGCACCTGCGAAGCTGCCGGTTATTCGCCACCATCACTCGGAAGCTCTTCCACTCTTTGCGCTCCAAAACCTGCCGATTTTACGATTTTATAGGTTTTTTTTTTTTTTTTTTTTTTTGTTTGCGATCGGATGGCTTTTTCATAAGCTCGCAAATGCATGGCTCACCTTGTTCTTGTTCTTGTCGAGCATGACAAAGTGCCAGGTCGCGACGCGCTCCTCCTTGGACGCCTGCCAATTGTCCGTTGCCTCATCCGAGTCCGAGCTCGACGCTTTCATTTTCTGCTGCATCACCTCCATGAGGTCGCGCAAGAACTGCTGCTTCTTGACTTCTGGACAGCCTGTTGGAGGAAAAACGTACATATAATAAATATATATTATACATGTGGAGAAATAAATTTTACATGTATAATATGTGTATCCCACCTTTCATGGGGCGTACGGGCGCAGGAACGGGAGTGCAGTTTGGCGTCTGATCCTGGGAGGAGGTGCCGGGAATCGGTTTGCCCGTGTCCTGATGGACGCACCAGCAGTAGCCAGAGTAGCACTGCACCTTGTCGTACCTGCCGTCGGGCGTGCACTCGGGCAGGTAGAATTTTTCCTGCGAGTCGTTCCTCTGGTCTTCCTGAACCGATCTCCGGTCCGATAGACAATCATTGGCTGGTGAACGACATAAATGTACATGTGTATTTTTTTTTTTTTTTTTTTTTTTTTTTTTATTATAAAATCTGTAAATGGTAGAAAAGTGATGTTTTATTCCATTTTTGCAATCTTACCGTCCGTATCGTCGGTCGCCTCTGGCGGGTCGTCATTGAAAGTTGGTCGCGCGAGCACGGGTGATGGACTACCCTTTAGTACTGCAAAACAGGGAAAAAAAAAAACATTTTTCAATAAAATTACGAAAAGTATAAAATAAATAAATTTTTTCTCCGTTGCGTGTCAATTGTAGAAATGTCGATTAAAACTGCTCAAACGAATTTTGTTTTGTTTACAATATTACATGCACAAACTGCATGCATCGTCCCCCAAATAAATGGTATAGTTTACACAAAACAAAGTAACTACATCGAAACTAATAAGGTCCAACGCGATAGTGCGTGGAAAATCAATCCGCAATGAAACCCCCCTCATGTAAGTGAATAAACATGTATACTGTTTTGCAACGATGTATTACTGTATCCATTCAAATACGTGATCAATTAATTAATTAGTCACCCATCCATATTTAAACGCGTAGTAAACTTTTTACAATTTAAGTGGTGTAAAAAAAGAGTGATAATCGCGCGTCCGGCGAGTGACGAGTCAATGTAAGATCGAATGGTATATGTATGGAGTGACGAATGGTCAAAGAGAAAAGAGAGAGAGAGAAAGAGATAACTTACCTTGGTCCGTAGCCCGGATGCGATGGGCCGGAGGGACCGCCAGCCGATCGTCTGTGGGACACAGCGACAAGAACAAACGATTTGAATGACAGTAATGATTCCACGCATCCCCACACAACAGGCCGCTGCTATATATATATTTTTTTTCTTTCACGACGATTTCGCGCGAGTGAAATTTTTTTCTCTTCGCGAGTACAATGGTGCTTTCATTGGTTTAAGCGGTGACGCGTGTACACGCCAAGTGCACCGTTTGGACGTATGAATTTACTCTTTGGCGGGAGAGAAAAAGAAACAAACGACGGATTTAGAGAAGCCGAGCCGATAAATTGCCCAAAAGTGTATATCGTCGCGTGCCCAAATTAAGTCCTCGTTTTGTCGTCGCTGTGGTGGAACACACCGGCCATCATCGCAGCCGGCACATCCGCGAAATTCTCTCGTACCATACGCGCAACGGGGCACAAGCAGAAAATAACGATGACATGTTGATGCGGATATGAATATTTGTGGAAAAAAATTGGTGGGAGTCAATTGCCGTGGCAAATGATAAATTTTTTTCTTTCTCGAATTAATACGAGTGTATATATGCGCGCGTCACGGTCGGAGCGTCGGGTTGATCACGTACAAATTGTCCGCGTTTCAAAGGCGACATCCCGGACGGAAGCTTAATTTTACTTTCGAGCTTGTAACGTATACGTGTATGTATGTACATGGTATCTACATGTATATACATATATACTTGGGTGGCTCACTTCTGTGCAATGCAAATCGAGATAATGGGCCCTGCCTGTCTGCTTTTTAACTCTCCGTCTCGATTAAGGCTCCCAATGCGCGCACTCCGGAAAGACGGTCTATACGTATGTGTGCTTGGCTTGTCACGATTTGTTTTTTTCTTTCCTCTCTCAACACTGTTTTATTCTTAATTTAATTTTTTTTTTTTTTTTTTTTCATAATTTTTTCATCAAACCAAAGCGTGAAATTGGCTAAATCATGAAAAACGGCAATAAATTGTCCATTTATAATTTCACGATAGCCTTTAGATATACAACGTGTACAGAAAATTTTGACGTTTATTATAAAGACAGGGCAAAAATGTGTTTTTCTCTCGTGAAATTTCCCATATGAGTCAGCGCAAGTAAAGTGAGAAAAATTGCCCCTTTGAATTTTTGACCGGAAGAAAGAAAAATGGCACCGACATAAAAAAGCTCATGCAAGTAGGTATACAAAGAGATATATAGCACCTTAACATATAACAATTAATATTATATAATAATATATATATATATAGATCTACACCTAAAACATTACAATATACTGTCGACGGATGTACATGTCTCGTTTAATACTCATGTGCACCACGTAAAACAAAAAAAAAAAGAAACATTAATTTTCGCGTCAGTTCAAACAAATGCTTCCGAGTTCATGATTATTTTTGTTTTCAATGTCAAATTTATAATCCAACACAGTTTTCATTAGCTGTAACTTTTTTTTTCTGTAATAATAAACAAAGCAAACGCCGCTTGATAATTTTCAATCAGTTCTGTAGATATTATTAAAGTAATACGATTCCATCGTTGAATTCTGCATATGATATATTTAATGTAACCTTTAATATTACCTACGTAAACGTAAAGCATAGAAGGAAAAAAAAAAAAAAAAAAAATGAAACACACTGTAAGCAAGCAATAACCTCTTAACTTATAAAATTATAGTAGCTACAAAGTGTAAGCTTTTAATAAACATTGTATCGCATTATTGATGGACAAGTTTTAAAAACAACAATACANGCATTTTCATTGCGCTTAAATTAAAAAAAAAAAAAAAAAAAAGTGTGCTTACGCGTAAAGTCGTTGGCCAAACATGCGCCCCACTCCTGCCTCGAGAGTTTGAGGTCTCGATTGAGATCGCAGCTACGGGCAAAGGTCCTCGCGCACTTTTTCGGCCTCACGGCCTTCTTGGCCAGCCTCCGGAGCTCCTTGTACTCGCCGCGGTCCAGAAAACCATCGCCGTCTCTGTCCAGACCCACAAACTTCCACGACAGCACGCGCTCGACGTTCTTGTCCACGTCTTTGGGGGATGAAAAAAAAAAAAAAAAAAAAAAAAAGATATATACACATACCACCACTATATGTATTTATGAAAAAAAGTCCCCGAAATAAAGGGAAGTAAAGCGCTCACCTTCGAGGGCCGAGGACGCGTTGGTTCTCCGGTACTCGATCTTGAAGCTATCGATGAGGTTCCCGTTAAACCTCGCCTTGTCCGCCCGGTCGCAGGTGGCGCGGTGCCTGTTGCTGTACTGCCTCCTCTGGTTGCGCGTGGGCGAGCGGCGCCTCTGGGCCCTCTCGGGCTGCATGAGGGCCAGGCCGTTTTTCCTCTCCGCGGCCGCGGCGGCCACCATACGGTTGCATCGTGGCCGGGAATCCCGCACCGACGTGTTGGGCAGAGGCCGGCCCTGGGCCGTCACGCACCAACAATGCCCCGTCTCCTTGTGGCACTGCATCGGGGCGTACGTCCCGTCCGGCCTGCACACTATCCTCTCGCCCGGCCGCGCTGCCGCTCGGGCCGACAGGCACGCTGGCCTATCTGCTCGTCCATGCGCGCGTCATTAGTATAATTATATATTATATACTTGTGTGTGGGGGTGGGAGGTTAGTATATGATGCGTACCTGGACAGGCACCGGTGTGCTTCACGTGGATGGCGTTGCCGGTGCTGCACTGCTTTGCCACGAGCCTGCAGTGGTTCGGGTAGGTTACCCCATCGGTACCGCAGACGGGGCCATTTTTTGACGCGTCCGCCGAACACGTGGCCGTACGCCGCTTGCAGTCCTCCTGCGGAGCACACGATCACATTTTGAAGGTGAAGGTATTATTTTTTCATTCGTTTTTGTTCTCATAAAGTACCGATTTTCCCTCTTTCCGTGATTATATCACCGATGCAACGTCAATCGAGGCGCGTTCGATATTCTTTAATCCCGTCAAATTTATACCGACTCCCCGTCGCAAACTCATGACATAGTGTTTCACAACTAATAGACGCCGGAGTACGAGCAACCAACACGCCCCAGCGCTTGGTCTTGAAGACAGAGCCTATAATATATATATATACCTGCAAATTATGGCCAATGTAGATGCTGGAGACGTGTGTTTATATAGGTATATGGAAAACGAATGAAAAAATGCGTTTCCCTTCGTTTCTTGTCCTTTTTTTTTTATTTTTCTTCCCCTCCCGAGGATCGGTAACTCCAATACGTGGCATCTATTTTAAGTATACAGTGTTCACGCGTGCCTGATTATGCGTACGTGTATCTGTATACGTACACGTACAGTTGCTGGATAAATCTCATTCGGGACGCCGATGCATGCAAATCGGCATGTTAATGTGCTTTTAAATAGACTCGCTGTGATACCGATTTCTACTTTCGTGTGGCACCCCTCCTCTCTTTCTCGCGATGTTATAAAAAGAAGAAGAAAAAACAACAGAGATAAACTGCTACCTTTAATTATCCCGAGGCGACCTAGAACTGTTGGAGAGAAAAAGCCTGGCATCCAAGAGATCGGTATAACTACGCGGTACAACGATCTGTTCATAGAAAAAGAAGGAAAAAAAAATAAAACAGATGAGTCGAAAGGCGACAAATTCACCGCCTTCGGCGACTTTGACGTACACATACGAGTAGAAAAAAAAAAAAAAAAAAATTTATTGTGCCACCGGGAGTATCGCGATCGGCGCCGAAGACCAGCCACGGTGCGGTCACGAAAACGCGGTCGGTACACCGTACATATCGTTGTTGTTGGCAAACTCCAAGATCGTTATAAAAAAAAAAAAAAAATTAATTAAAAAAAAAGGCACAAGTCCGAGGCGCCACTACCGTTACGCGCACGATGGTTTCACTTTACCGATACATCTCTCGCTCTTTTATTCGCGCTTGTCCTTAAACTTTTTACTTCGAGCAAGAAGATTACATCGGCACCCGAGATTTCTCGGATTTCTCTGCCGATCGTGCCCGGGTATCGGGAGCACTTTTAATCATTTCCCCGAGAATAGGATTATCGGCACGCATATATATATATATGTATACCTGAACTTGCGTGCATTTGTATATATATGTACGTATTAATTAAATGAATAAATTCATGTTGCTTATTCTATTTTCGAACCCGACCTCTGGTTAAAAATAACTCGGTCTGTACGTAAATAAGAGCACTCGCGCAAAAACACATCGGTATAATATTATCGCGGGAGCTCGCGGATAATGTATCCAAGTGAGGAGGGAAAAGGGAGGAAAAAAAAAAAATTAAAAAAAATCGGCGCGACCGTTTAATTTAGCATCTCTCGCACGCAACGCTCATTTATCACGGGCGAGTCGATCGGCGTGGCACGCGATACAAGCGCTTTTTATGAAAAGCCTGTCACGACGACGACCAATAATTATTACACGCGTCTCTCACGTAGCACGACCGAATCTTTGAAAAATCGTCACGCGTTTTTTACTTCGAATCCCACGTGTATTTTTCTAGGGTCGATAAATTGGGGGGTGAAAAATATGCCGTTGATTACTGTGAGAGTTTTTTTTTATTCGCTTCCAAACTCATGCAAACAAAGTTAAACGGCCCTCCGACTTTGAGTCCAATCAACGCCTTTAACTCTATTATTACACAAGCTTTTAAACTATTTTAGGCGAATATTTTATCTTTTCCCAAGATGGGGCTGAAAGATATGCCACAAGGCAAAGGAACATTTAATTTCACGATCATTGGGGAGAGGGAAAAATGGAAAAACCATTCTTTTCCTCTACGATACGACACATGGTGATTTTTTTCGAAGATCTCGACGTGTATTAGGTGCATTTTTTTTTTTTTTTTTTTTTTTTTTTTCTTCACAAACCGTCCCACACGCGACATATCGCGAGCGCGTACACAACGCGAGCCAAATGAATTTTCCATCAGCAGCGCCACGGCGCCTGCGGTTTTTCTCCCCCCCTTATATACGCACGTACAGTATGGAAGACAGAAGGCTGAGCGGCGTCCCCTTAAACGAGCAATGCCGTCCAAGGCCGTTATGGTCGTCGTTATTGTTGTTGTAGCGGTAAGTGTATCAATATTGCCGGATCGAGAGAGATCGGCTACTCGTACGTAAGATCACGCTCGTTTTGTTTGCCACGGTCTACTTGGTATACATACCTATATACATCGTTCACCGACCCGTGAAATTTCACGCAAAATATCTCGACAAAAACAAAAAAAAAATAATTCACTCGAAGTGACCTTTCGACGTGCAAACGAGAAACACTCCAAAGGGCAGGTATATGGGTAAATCTCAAATTCCTCCGGTTTTATCCGTGCGAGGAAGAAGCAGCACTTGCATCCGTACAAAAAAAGAAAGGAAACCACCTGCTCGGATTATAAATACGTATTCGCTTAAGTGCATCGGGAGCGTTAAAAACGAGAGCGCGATAAGGATCCGCTTCAATATATATATATATATATATATATGCATAGGTACCGATACACACATTTGCACGAGAGAGAGAAACGGCATTCCAAACTCTCGCGAGCTGCAGATATATAATATACGTTCAGCGGGAGATCGGCACCATAATTGTGTGACGAAACCTGTTAATGTATACATATACGTGGTACCAATACGCACACCACGGACTACTCCTCTGATGACGCAGGTGGTTCCTTTTTTTTTTACTCTTTTATGCACGTCGGATTGCGATTAATGCGTAAAAATGTTACTTTTATTACTTTTCCTTTTCCCCCTGAAGGAAAGGTGAGGTGGAATGTGCGGTACACGCGATCGTCGGATCACGGAAGAGGAATCCGCTCCTTCGGCCCATCAGCGAGAGAAGTTGAAACAATTTAATTGACACTCTCCTTCCCCCTTTTTTCCCTCTTCTCTCTCGGCTATAAATCATATACCTAGTACGTTACCCGTGAAAATTCATTTCCCGTAATCCGATGCGCAAAGACAATCTTTTACCGGCACTCAATTGACGCCGATCTCTGGCTATCTTATCCTCGTTTTTTTTCTCATATTACATATACATTAGTTTCACAAAGTATACTTATACACGATAAAAGTGCAGGAAGTTTTCGTACATATGTCTGTGAACGCATCCGAAGAGTAAAAAATACAAAGGTGGAGTTTTATGAAATATCCGGCGATATAGAGCTTTGTTCAATTTATTTTGCTTCAAAACAATTTGCACATGATCAACCTCGTGTAAACAGCATTGCTGGTTATTATAGTAAGTATACAAAAGTGAAAATATTGTTTACAGGTACAAGCAAAAAAAAATCAAGAGAAATCGATCGATGCCTGTATTAATTGGTCGGTCCATGCACAAGCATGCGTATAGCCTTTCAAAATTCTAGCTGCAGAAAAAACTTCTCTCACACATCAGTGCAATATCATTGAGACTTACTTCCCGGTACGTATGATTACCGAGTATATAATATCCATTGTCAAGTGTACACATGTATATATCGTAGTGGGCTGCGATGCATCAATACCGATTAGGCAAAACGCATTAGCCTTTTATAACGTCTGCACTCGCGGGATCGCTCCGCGCGCGAGCCAAACTCCACAAGTGCTTTCTAAATACCGCACCGGTATCTCTCTCTCTCTCTCTCTCTCTCTCTCTCTTGTGCTCTTTATTTAACGGTATTTCCTTTTCATTTGTAATAAAAAAAAAATCGCGTGATTGATAACCCTTTTTTGAACGTGTACGGTCCGCCTTTTTTCTCTCTCTTTCTCTCATTTACATCTCGGGTCGACTCTCTTATCGATTCCGTGTACAGTAATAAATCAATACCATCGTTTTGCCCACTCGACCATCTGTAAAATATATACGTATACATATGTAATTATGCGTATACGTTGTATAAAATGACTCGCGTTGATTAAATAAAAAAGAAGATTCAATTTAAAAAAGCTCGTACATCTTCGAGTGTGTACATGTGACATGTGTCAAAAATCGTCCCAAGCGACGGTAAAAATGAATAACGTATGCGCGCAACGAATAAATTTTCGGCATATTTTACCGATCCAACAACTCGATCGAGATTACACGTATACATTGTATCTACACTTACACGTTACATACGTATGGGGGCTTTTCAATCCACTCACGTCACTCTCTCTCTCTCTCTCCTCCGACACGCACTCGTTTCACCGATACGTTATAATTTTTTTTGTTTTCTTTCCCGATTTACAATTTAGCGCGCACACTTCATTACGTGTAAGGTGTGGATTAGATAAGCTCGCCGATACTTGAAAAGCCAACGGAGCAGCTGGTCCACTCGCTCCGATCTTATAGATCATATATACGTGTACATTGCCGTAGGAGAGCAGGTGTTACTAAATTCCCTAATCGACGCATTGCAAATAATGGAAAACGATCAACCTTTTTTTTTTTTTTTTTTTTCTTTCACGAGTAATGATGATGATACGTACTGGCAATGGGTGTTGATTTTCCAGCTGTTAATTTCTCACCCCCTCGTACAACAGCAGAAATTGCGTAACAATAAAAACACTTTTATCTTTCACCGCGTGTGAAAAGAGCAAAACAAAATTTTTTCGCGTCAGTGCGAGTGGAGCGTTTTACAAAATAAATAAGAGGGGAAAAAAAGGAGGGTGGTAGGAGGGAGGTGATCGAGAAAAGGAGAGAGATTCGTTGCAGGTGTTTGACGCTGCGGGCCAAGAACGCGAGGGAAAGACATATATATATATCATCCGCTTGCGTTTCGCGTTTTACGTTCTCATCGTGTCGCAATACCAAGAGAGAGAGAGAACCGGACGCATTTTCTCTCTCCCGCTCTGT